AGTTGGTACAAGTAGGCGGACCGTCACAAGCAATTCCGTAAGGATGTGATAGGAAGGTACAAGCGCTCTAGAAATGTGAATAGTATGAGTAGAGTCTGTCGAAACTTGTTCGCCACTGATGGTGGCGCCCAGCAGGGTCGATGTGCTTGGACCAATGCCAGCCCATTTCTTTTACTTTCTTCGTGCCGCAAGCGACGAGACCATAGAACGGGCGTGGCGCGAAAAATATGGCCTTATTGACACACGCCATCATGCGCAGCGATGAAGACTTCTTTGTTCGCCTCCGGCTTACGTTCGAGCTTTTCCGCCGTCTTTGGAGCTTAAAAAAGTTTTCAACGAAGGCGAAAGAGCGAAGAATGGGAGAAAGTCTAGCGTCAATTTTAGAAAGCATTGTATTTGAAGACCAATCAAAAAACTCACTTCAAAAAGAGGTTAGTCAAGAGTCCGGCATTTACCGAGGTGACTGTATCGTTCAAGGCGTAGTTCTTCTTGTCGGTCATTAAATACTCCAACAAAATCAAAGCGATGGCCCACGACATTGCCTAGATTTTTCACATCACAGCGGAGTCTTCAACTTCAACTGGTAAACCATCTTGCCGGTATGGATTTTGAGGAGACGAGGGAATCGTAATTTGCCGCTTCGCCGTACGCGACGATGGACGCGGCGTTTCTTGACTCGTGGTAATCTGTCCACAGGAGCACTGGACTTCATGCGGACCCCGTCTTCATAGACATTCATGAGTATTTTCTGTTCTGAATTGCCTGTCGTCGCCATCTACTACCTGGAACCATCGTCATTTGCGGGCGCGACGTCGCACGCGACGCCCACCAGCGCGGCGAATTACGATTCTCTTGTCACATAATCTAGATTTTGGGTCGGAGAAGGTGAAAATGCAAACGTTTGCACTCGACTCGCTGCGACTCGTCACTGTGACTCAAATGTAACGCCACACTACTAATTGGGATGTATATTAGATACTTACTGAATCCAAGGAAAAAATTCGGTATATCATCCACATTTTCGTAGATTGTTTCGTTTGGTGTGAACATGTAGAAGTGAATAGCGTAAATTTTTCGGATGCAAATCCGCGAACACTTTGATGATCAGCGTGGTATTAGTTACGAATGTGTTGATCATCTGAAGTGAGTGATGAAACATAACGAAGGACACGGTATAATCTTGATAAGAGGCACGAATGAGAAAGGCTAACGCAGGGTTCTGCAGACGAATCCTGGCAACGAAAGTATTTATCACGACGGACAGCTCAATAAGTGAGATCGTTCAAACTTTGCGGCAGCGTCTGCCAGCGTCCACCAGCGACCAGGTGTAAAGAGTATCTAGAAGTAGGAGGGAGGAGATAGCCAGACTAGGCGTCATGAAATTGTGGCGTGTGCGACCGCACCGCACTATTACACAATGCTGTATTCCTGGTCGCTGGTTGTCGCGGGTAGAAGCTGGTAGACGCTGGATCGATATATGTGTTTTCCTAGCGCCTTGAGACACTTGGTCGCAAGCGAACGCCGGTGAACGCTAATAGACGCTAGCTCGATATCCATACTTTCCTAGTCGTGGTGCATTCATGCTATAGGTCTCTGCACAATAGATGAGGAAATTGGAAAACGCAACCTCTACCGTAGCCCATTGCTTCTTATCGAAGTGCCGAGAGAAAGGACCGAATATTTTCAAGGTTTTCCGCGTACTTAGGAAGCCGTATGAACGGCTAAATGTAGAGAATCCCAAACGCTGGCGTGTTGCGTGTTTTGCCTGTGGGTGAAGCTTATAATGGACTCAGTCGTCACTATAATCAGCGTCATTTCCTCCCAATTTCGTGTGAGGAAAGAGGCACGCAAGCTCGGTTACATGACATCTAGAACTGGTGGCTGTCCTGTAACTAAACCTGTGACGC